AAACTATCCCCTTAGTAGCTTTGTGTGTGGGCAGATATAAACAATGCTGCTGATCAACAAAATAACACGCCCACACTTTTGCATATAGGCTGAAACCTCAACAGATGATCCAAATGGAAAACATCAATATCATCAAAACGTCTGCGAGCTCCATATGTGCAGCTCGTATGCATATCTTGTACAGAAACCATACAGTATTGGAAGCCTTGAAAACATCTTGTTTGAATGGACAGATTGTGTCCAAGCATACAGTAAACGGCCCCTTCAAAGCTGTTTCTGATTAGCGGTTTTCTCTTTTTAAAAGCTCAGAGATGTTATGTGTAATGCAATCTTCTGGCTGTGTCAAACTGCTACCTCAGTGCGTACGCTGTGGAAGACCCCAGACATGCAAACAAAGGAGTCTCTGTTCTGGCTACATGCACCTTTTTCACAGGCACACGTCATGTAAAGGTTCGGGTGGGCATCTCAACGCAGTGTTAAAATCTACATTAAGGCATTCTGGGTCCTTCTTTCACAATATGTTTGACTATTGTGGAGGTACTGTGTCTAAGAATTTCCCACAGAACCAAAGAATAATAATAAGTCTTACTGCACTACTCTTCACACAAAATAAACAGAAATAGTAGGAACGTCTTAGCATGCATCTTAGCATGATGTTTTTTTACAGAACACAGCTGGAAAATACTTGAATCTTAATAAAAATGAGGAACACACTCAAAGAAATATATATAAATATATATATACACGAAATTGTAGGCATATATTCAGCATATTCATTAGACGGTAATCACCATTTCAAATTGATGCAGAAAATGATTTCATATTTGAACCTCTAATTTGTCTGATTTAACTTCAAAAGCAAGCTGTATGTGACAAAGAACTGCACAGCTAATGCATACAATTAAGCATCAATTAAGAAATGACTGACGCAAATGCACAGCAAGTAGTCAGAGTAAGGAATTTTGTGTGACGTCTAAAGAAAATGCAGACATTCCTTGGATGTGGTAGCTTTGACGATATTTATAGTTTAACCTCTACAGACCATTTAGCGGGTTACCCATTGCAAATACATGGTTTATAAGAAAAGAGCACATGCTAAATTACAGGGAAATACGTATAAACCTGTGGACAAGACAACTAGAATGTAATGATTTTGCAGGCACTGAATACACCAGGGTTAACCCTTAAAGAAAAAAAACACATGAATTTCCCATAAGGGAACAGTGTTTATGTTGTCAAACTTAAAGGACCTGTTTGCAGGATTTAGTGGATTCTAGCAGTGTAATTGCAGATTGCAGAAACTATGGCAGGCCAGTGTTTGGTTTGTCCATTCTAAGCTACTGTAGAAAAATAGGGGTTTAACATGGAATATACAAAGCTTATTCTAAGGTAACAAAAACATAAGTATTCTTATTTACAGATGATTGCACACTAATAAAAACATATCTACGAATATTGTATTCCATTTCTGCCAATAGATCCTCCTGAATGTTACACACAGGAAAAAGTTGTGCATAGAAATCAAGATCAGTGCTGACCACTCAGTTATGTGTCATTAGGCCTACAACTAACAATTATTTTTGTAAAAACTTGTGCTAACCGCTCTATGCAACCTTCAACTTAAGAGCGAAGTTGCCCCCCCAACCCCCGCCCTTTCTAAATATAAAATGAAATCTGCTGTATTGAAAAAACAGAAGCCACACAGTGAACTCTGTGTTGGGAGGTCTATTCAGAACTAGTGTGTAAGCTCCTATTTGACAGCACTGACAGAGCATCAACTGCAACTGACATGTTTTGAAAGGCCCAAATTGCCTTATCCACTAAGAAGGTATTTGTTGACACAACACTGCAAACCTGGAGTGGGTGCTGATGATTGACACATGACCGCTGCAGCAAAGAAACTACAAAGCTGGACATTTATCCCAATTAGCACACACCCATGTATGCAAGCGAAGTGACATAATTAGGGCATATCAGAGAATGTGGCTAACAACGATGGACCTCATAGTCTCTGATGTGTGTTATAAGTAGACAATAAGCTGCTAAAGCTCTCACTCTACCCCTCATTATAGTCACTCAATCCTGACATCAAAGGGAAGACTAACCTTATTGCTATAGGATGATGGTGGGTGTGTATATATGTGTGTATGTGTGAGGGTTTATGAGAGTGTGTGTGTGTTGGTGTGCACATACATATATTCTTGTTCGTCGGTCGTTGCATGGACCAATTTAAGTTTTACACTCCGAGAGTAAGCACATTTTTGGAAAGTGAGGGAATTTTGGCTGGTCTTAATTTCTTCAAAGGGCTCTTTGAGAGTTAAGACATGGGTTTTAGGGTTAATGTTATAATTAGGTTTATTTTAAAGGGTCACTTGACACAAATTACATAAAAACCCCATCTTAGGTAGAAGGTAGCTCCAGTAAAAACAGTTTAAAGCAGGGATTGTAGATTATTCAGAGTAACCAGTTTTGTTTCTGGAAAGAGAAATAACTGAGGTGAGTTGAACATTTTTCACGCTCAGGGGACCACATATTACATTTCATTTGTCCCCATTGTATTGGGGTGGTGGCAGACGTTTCAAAGGCAGCTATCTCAAACTCTCAAAACATAAACACAAATTATATGCATGGCCAGACACCACTTAGGTAATTGCGATAATGTGTCTTTTTGTAATTTGGGAGAACTGACCCTTTAATGTTAGGATAGGAGTTAGGTAGTCAGTTTTAATTCCCATAGATTAGAAGTAGGGAAAGGGAATACATTATGTTAATTCTTGTCCCCACAAGTATAGAAGTACCGTGTGTGTGTGTGTGTGTGTGTGTGTGTGTGTGTGTGTGTGTGTGTGTGTGTGTGTGTGTGTTGTGAGTGAAACGAACTGAAATTGAGGACGTCTACTCGCACATGTGCTTATGACTTATGAATAACTTTGTGTCAGAGAATGTGTCACTTCCTATTACAGTATGCGTGTGTTAGTGTGTGAGTGTGTGTGTGCCCTGACATCCTCAGCCTCTTGGCCGTGTCCTGTGACTCTCTGACAGTATTTGGCAAGGCACTAATTGACGAGGAGCCTCCACCTCGTCGTGTTTTGTCAGAACACGAAGGCCTCGCCGCTGGATCAACAAATCCTGGAGCTTCAAATTGTGCCATATGTCCAGCCATGTGTTCCCTTCTACCAGCTGGGAGCACTCAGCTCTGTGCCTGTCTAACTAACTGACAGTGTGACTGGGACTGTGCAACCCCAGACTAGGACCAGTACTTTGATGAACCTGGAATGGTGAAACGTTGGTGCTGGTTTTGTCTGTCAGCGAACTGTTTAGTTTGAGTCAGCTGATCAGCAAATTGTCTATTGCTGTTATAAAGATTTATAAATCTTTTGCATGAGATATTGCAAAAACACTTGTGCCTCATCTCTAATACCCATGTTATTTTCTGAGTTTGACTTGACAGCTTGAGAGATCAAACGATCTGAAAAACTGCCCATTTTACATTTCAGGCACCTGGTAAAACTGTCAACAAGAAGATCACAATACAGTTGCTGCTGTCACAGAGTTAATGTGGCTATAAAAAAGTAATGCACAGATCTACCTTGATCGCAAAACCAAATTAGATGGTGTGCGGCAAAAACCAACAGTTCTGTTGATTTGTGAAAGCGATATTGTATATTAAAAAACAAAAATAGGAGTCTACAGCCACACTGTGATGCTGTACCTCACATCAGAGGCACTTACAGTAATGTAAGGAGCTGTCATCAACTCGAGTAACGCTACCTTTGTGTCTCCTCTGTACCGTGTGTATGTGGAGGGCTACACCAGCCCTGACTTCGGTGAAACACAGTGAGAACAGACAGAGCAGACAGGGTGAAAAGAGAACCGTAATCGACAACGAAGACCAAGCGGCTACCACCGTGGCTGGCAAATGAAACCAACATGGAAGAAACAAAAACTGCAGTTCGTCGAAGGCCACTTAAGGCTACAGAAGCAATCGGTTTCCATAAGACCCCATATTAAAAAATGCACAACTTTACGGCAGATATAAACATGTTTACAGCCTGGTACAAAAATGGTTTTGGTCTCTATAGCTAAGACTATAGACTAACCCAACTGTCAGAACAACACTGCCATCCCTAGAGAGCCATGTTGCTAGAGTGGCTAAAAATCTTTTTTCCATCAGTTGTGCATGTCTACATGGCTAACAAAAACAGCTTCAAAAGCCTGAGTGATGGAATCTGGCCAACCATGATGGATCAGGTAGTGAAAACACATTTTAAATTATATGAAATATTTGCCTCAAAGTTGTTCTACTAAGAAATTTTAAAGAACACTGAGCCATTTGTAATGATTATAAGATCAATAAAGTTTTAAGTTTAAAGGCATGCTGAAAGGAGAGATTAGCCTAGTTCAACTCAATTACTTGGTGGTTATAGGATCATTTATTCTGTAGCTCCTCACATATTTCCCACCGTAGGGAAACTTCACACGCTTTTCCACATATTGATGGATGGTCTAATTAAATATGTGTGAATTTCAATCACTCATATAGTCGCTAATTTCACAGTTAACAAAGAAATTCTATTCTATCAAACATCCAATCCTGTCACTTGCTTCACTTAGAGCAGAAACACAGGCTCCAAATGATAATGCATTTTGTTACTACCACTTACAACGAGGCTAACGAGAACAAATATGAAAGGTTTTAAAGCAAGGTAATTTGTACTGATTTCAGTTGACCAATTTTAAATGTTTAACCCACAACAGTTAATAATGACAGGGTGACCACAAACTACTGTGATTTCCACTTACATTAACCAGGAAAATGTTTTGTCTGCATTCACAACAACCCCATCTTTAGTTAATGAGATGGCAAACATTTACATTTAATATTTTCCAACATTTACTAAAAAATATAATCCTATAAACTCATTATAAGCTCACCCAACAGTGTTCCCAAGTATTTATTTCTGGTTTGTGGGATACATAGGTAAATACGTGGGCTCTCTTACCTGGTTTGGAGACCGAAACTCTTGGTTATTGTCATTCATATACATGTTGTCACCATCAAACTGTGGATAGAAACAGAAAGGAGAAATAAATCATGGTGTGGAAGAGGAGGTGTGATGAAAAAAAAAAAAAATTGGGGCCCGGGGAGGAGGTGCGAAGAGGAAAAGCTCTTTACGGGTGGCCTGAAGTGTGAGACTAATGACTTTGTCACTTTGGTTAAACCTCGTGGTGGCATGGCAGCGTGGGTAATTACTGTTCGTCAGCGGGCCGTAATTAGGCTACATGAGCACAGTGACGAGAGATGGGCTTTTCCCTGTGGGCTCTGCTGTGTGTATGAGACAGAGAATGAGTGTGAATGAATCTGTGAGTGCATACAGTAGTAAAGGGTGTGTGTGTCTGTCTTTGAGGCTGTGGATCCATTGTGTGTGTGTGTGTGTGTGTGTGTGTGTGTGTGTGTGTGTGTGTGTGTGTGTGTGCCTGTGCTGTAAAGTGAGGGCATGCTGTGTCTTCAGCATTAAGTTAATCGGGCATCAGAAGATCTCTTGCTGCAGGTGCCAAAGCACTGTTAGACACCAGGTTAGAACTCACATAACAACAAATGACCCTTGACCCCCAAGGTTGTTGGGAAAAAACCAGCTCACTAGTTTAGCACTAGGCCTACATGCAACATGTATAGTGTGTTGGTGAGCTAAATCCCAGAAGAATTCATGAATTCAATGAGATCAGCTTTGAGTAGACTACAAATAAAGAAAAAAACAACACAGATTCTGTTTTTAGCTCCAGAGAAAATGAGATTCTGCCCCACAAACGGCTCAGTAACTGAACCTGTGCGGTGTCAAGGTGAAACTGCTACTACGTTAAGAAGAGCTGTATTGTGAAATGCCCTTGGCTTCCAAAGGCATAAAGCTTTGTCATACCAGTCTTGCAGCAAATGGAACAAACCTTGACTGGACTGGATAATAACACATGCACACAGAAACCCAACGTGTCAAATAAAGCCTCCTTTTTTGTTTGTTTGACAGAGGTCATCCTTTGTGATATCAATGCAGAGAAGACTTGAGAACAGACAGCAGAGACAACATGATCAAACTAGACAACATTCCATGTCAAATTCCTCAGATGTGAAGATACGGGGGGGCCCTTTTCATTTGCGGTGGTCTGCTTTGTGCCTATGGAGCAAGCCTTGAATGATAAACACACGCTGGATACAAGTGAACACAAATGGATCATAAGATATACCTGCTCAAAAACAATGCCCAACTAGGTAGACTAATGGACGGAAATGGGAAGAATTCCTGGGGGTGAAATCTAATATCTACACTGGTAGACAGGAAAAAGTTGAAGCAGCTAAATGAGCATGTGAGTGGTGAGAAAGAGAAATTACTGTACATTATTGCAGGAGAAAGGCCGGGGGAATGAGCGCCTGCCTCAGGGCAATGGTTGGTTAACGATGCATATCATGGAAGCCCTTGTGAGGATTCACTTGGTTATTCTAATGATTACATTTACATTCAGCCACAGACGCAAACATGAAACTGAGACAAGCACTTGCATTTAAGCTTCATTCGCACCACCAGCACTAAAAACTGCATGTTTATTTCAAGTGAAACTGACTGCTGACTAATTGTTTAATGCTACATATTGGAGTTACATACAATAATTTGCTTAATGAAGCACGCTGGCGTCTATCACTTAACAGTGAGAAGTGACTCACTGAGAGGGGCAAAGTGATGTTGACCACGGTGACATATGTGCAATAAACTCTTTGCTTCTCACATAAAAGCCTCTTGTCCGCACCTAACTGAGCAATTTCTTTCCATTGAAAGCCACTTTGATATCACTGGTGACGTAAAGCCATTTTGAGAATTTCTTTCTCTCTGTTGAAAAGAGAGTACAGTCGCTGAATAACGCCATTTTTTACCATAAAATGCTGCCAGATCTTGTATTTCAGTTTGTTTTGTAATCTGAATTCTTTGAGTGCCGAGCCTTATTGCAGTTTCTCACAGCTCTGAATGAAGCAATGAAGGCAGACAGTGCTCATTTTCACCAATTACATCTGTAATATAATATTCACCAAAAAGGCCAAAGACAGCCTAGAAAGGTCAGCCATTTTGTGCTTCAACATGGCTGCCCATATATTGCAATGTAAAGCTGTTTCCCCCTGCTCTTCTCTCGATAGCTCTCCTTTGCACTGCCTCGCTCTCCCACTTAAAATGCCAATTTATCCTCGGCTCAATGCTATCAGCTCTGCCATTACTCCACATTTACTGCAGAAATCATCTTCTCTTTCTCTGTTGTTCCCTTTCTCTTTCATTTTCTCCCTCTCACTCTTTCCTCTCACTCTCTCCATCTTTCTCTCTCCACTCCCCCTCATGTTTCACTGTTTCTTCCTCTTTTCTATTTCCCCTCCTTGCTGCTTTCTCTCTCCTCTGTTCCCTTTCCCATGTTCTCATCGTCCCCACCTCTCTCCGTGTTACAACCTCCCTCTACTTCTCCATCTCCCTCCCCACCCCTGTTTCCCCCTCTTTCTTCAGTGGGCCTTGGCATCGCTTTCTCATCGGCAGTCTAATTGGGCATTCTGCCTGAGACAAGGGCCTCATTAAGCAGTAATTACACACATGTTGTTTTCGGCAAACATCTCTATTTGGATTGCTTTGCATGGTAATTGTTCAGCAGGGACCACTGCTCGCGATGTTTCCCTCCGTGACACACGTGGTGCTGGGAGAGAGGAATAAAAACATGGAGAAGAGGGATAGAGAGGCAGGGAGGGGTAGAGAGAGAGGGGGGGATGTGAGAATAGAAGAAAATAATAATAGGTTGTGGAGGGGAGACAAATTGAGAAATAAAGAATGCATACATGAGAGAGAAAGAGGATGAGTAACAGAGAGGCAGAAAAGAGACAGACTAAAAGGATGAAGGCAATGCTGAGGCAGTAAATGGAGAAAGACAATGAATAAATGACAAAGAAAGAGGTAGACAGATTCGGTGTGAGAGGAAAATGAGGTGGAGAGGTAGAGGGAGAATGAAAAAGATGCAGAGAATGAGTAAATGAGGAAGAAAAGTGAGAAAGTAAAGACAGTGTGAGAGAGAGACACAGTGAGTGAGTCCCAGAACTAGGTCATGCCTCGCAATCATCGACAAAGCTGAGCGTTTCAAAAATAATGAAGCCACAAGGTGGAAGTAATGCTAACTAGCATATCCAGGGAAAACATGTAATATTTACACAGTGCTAATGGTGCAATACAATGCTGGGATCTTTTTATCTTGGAGTGCACTGGTGAGACAGTTGATGGCAGGATTGGAGGCAAAATTACAGACTCCACTGAAGATTGCTTTTGATTGATGGACAATTCATATAAGCTCCTCATAAAGCCTTCTAGGCAACATCTGTTTGTGAAGGGGGTGGGGCGGAGATAAACTGCTAGTGTGCCTGGGTAATGCCATGACTGTCCAATCACCAGAGAGAAAACTGACCTCTTAATGATGAAAAAAAATACTTCATTTTGAAAGCTAGGAAACCAATTATCTGGGAAGCAAAATAATATAATATTTGCCATAACTGCATCTAATGAGTTGAAATACACAAATTCCACGGTAACCTGTTTTTATGTATATCTTAATATTACAAGTAAACTATAGTTCAGGTTTATTTATATAACATTATTTATATAACATTTTTACAAACTTAAATGGCTTTACGAGTGTACATTTTAAAGTACATTTGCTTAAGTGCTGTGCTTACGTCAAAGTGCTTTGAGTATTTCCATTTCATGCTACATTATTCTTCTTTCCCACTACATTTCAGAGGTAAATATTGCACTTTGTACTCCACAACATTTATTTACCAGCTTTGGTTACTGGTTAATTCACTGAAGATTAAGATTTTACATACAAAACATATGCTCAGCTTGTAAAATATGATTTGTTGTTATAGATTAAACTACTCAAAAGTATTGCTTGCTTGCCTCAACCAAGCGTGCAGGCCATTTCTGCCTATAGATCCTCCTAAATGTTACACACTAGACCCTTAATGCATTAATATTAATAATCCATTTATATAAAGGATACATACTCTGAAAGGGTCAATTCTCTTACTTGAGATCATTTTTGTACAGTATTTTTACATTGTGATGTTCTAATTTTACTTAAGTAATTTATTATATCTTCCACCACTGGGCTTTCCTACTACATCATATACCATCTTACAGTTTGTGTAGTATGGAATATGATATGACAAGATGTAGCAGAGTAAAAAATAATTTTACTTCTACCCAATCAGCATTCAAGCAGACCATTGCAACATCTGTAAAAGAAAAAAAAAAACATACAGTATTACACTAAAGAACAACAAACTTTTAGAACTTTTCAATTTATAAAAGGGAATCTATAAGCAGAGTGTGTAATACTTGTGACTTTAAAAGCCTTTGCCAGTACACCAAGTCTCTAAAAATAATTCTCTCACCGAGCGGAATTAATAAGCCCAGAACAGTACACAGCCATTCTGTGAAGAAAGGGTGTGGTGGTGGTGGTGGTGGTGGTGGGGGGGGGGACTCATGCAATATGTATGCCTGTTTGAGCACCCTTCTTCCTCATCTTTCCCCTCTTCTCTTTATTTCTCTTTTTACATCTCTCTCTCCCTCGTCCTCTGTTCAATTAAGCTGTAGGAGAGACCTTACAAACCTCAGCCTGAGACAATGTGCCACTGAATTTTGATGTTGCCCAACTTGTCACAGCTGGTTCAAAGCCAGACAAGCGGATGAGACCGACAGATAGATAGACAGACAGACAGACAGACAGACTTGTGTGCACACAAACATGTATACACACTTATAAACAGGGGAAGATTGAAAGACAAAGAGGTTGAGAGGCAGAAAGAGACAGAATGGAAAGAAAGAAAGAACACTATAGTAGATAGATTTCAGAGTTGCATGGGAGGAGGAGAAAGAAAGAGGGAGAGAGGAGAGACTATAGTAACAATTCTGGTGTTGCACCACGCCCCAAGCAAACAATGAACATGGGCAAACAATGAACATGGCACACACATACACACATATACACAAACACTCACACGCACACGTACACACACACACACACACACACACACACACACACACACACACACACACAAAGCCCATAAAAAGCGCAGCCTGTGGCCATGGCGACACATGCTCTGTTGTCGTTAGATAAGGGAAACAGGGCCTCTTCCTGGGTGTGAGAGTTTGATCCTACACACACACTACACACACACAGACAACATGCGCACACTCAGCTGCATCAGCACTGGGGTCACATGCACCAACGCCCAGCATCTTATGTATCCTCACCTTTATCAGCTGCATGGCTCATTTTCATATGCAAAACCCAGGCTATGTTTATCTGGACACACTGTGCTCCCGTCAGCAGACCACATACATTAGACGGCATGATCAGATATCGGAAAGATACACGGAGCAGCTCGCCGTATCTCTTAGAAGGATTTTGATGGAATTATTTTTGGAATTTGCTGGCCCTGTGCCATCCAAGAAAGTATTTAGTTAGAGGAATCGGTAATATGAATCATTGCAGCGTTGAATTTCCTCAAAGGACTGTTTTAAAAGTGTTTAAGAGTCTACTGGCATTTCATTTCCAGCTGATTCTGTTAAAGAAATATTTTGTTTTATTGTCAGCGCTGGTGCGATCCATCAGCTCACATCTAATGAGCATCAGCTCTGTTTGTTATGATTAGGTCTAAAGCATTCCACAGTGAAACAATACAGATACACACAAACACACAGTGCCCTTCCCATCAGCAACGGCTTGAAAAAAAAAAGCAACCTTTTCACTAAAGACATAATACAGGTTCCAACCGCTTCCGGCTCCACCTATACCTTGTGATGTGTAAAAATAAAAAGGCAGGCTGAAGCTCTCATTCATCCATTTTCTGTTGCACTGAAGCAACCACAAAACAGAAGCAACAGTCAACAGCAGAGATGGGAGGAGAGATTGAGGAGAAATGTAGTGTGCGTCTATGTGCGTGTGTGTGCGTGTGTGTGTGCGCGCGTGTGGAGGGAGGCCAGGTGGGGTGGTGCTAAATAAGGTTTTGTTTCCACTGTGAACTCGGGTTCACTGTGAGTTAGTGAGTTCACAACAGGATAAAATCTAAACGGTGATGGTGACGCATGATAACTCACACTGTTTTAATAGGAACCTAGAATGTTTGTAAATCAGCTTTTGTGTTTATTCTATTGTATTTATCATCAAAATTATTCCATAAAGCAGTCATTTCCAATAATTATATGATTCCTGTTCCAAATGCAAGAACTCAAGGCAAACCGAAAATCCAAAACAGTTTAAATTCTGATACTGTTTGAAAGTTAAGCCTTCGATACAATTATTATTGTACCGCTTTTTGACTTGACATTTTGACTTGTATCCATTACTTTCTGTGGATTTACAGGTGTTCTTGTAAGATATTTGGAGAGTGGCTATAATCAATATTTGAATATAAACAATCACATGACTACATTTATGTGAAAGGGGTCGCTTATAGTGTTGAACCCACAGAGACACCCACAGCTCTGCAGTTCCCCTTACTTCCCTAAAAAACAACTGTATGGTACCTGCCCTGCACCAAATGGCAGACAAAGTCTAGTCCGTGACTAGAGGTGAGCATAGTGGAGCATCTAGCTGCTTAAGAGCAAGATAACTCCCTCAGAAGTTGGTGGCAACCAAAACAGAGTGAATGTTCATCAGGTGGCCAGAAACATGACTGCAAACCGATGCTAATGTTACATTTGCCAAATGAAATTAAGAGGTGATACTGTCAGTACTGGGACAAAAATATGTGTTATTGCAGGTTTAAGTTCCAACAGTCAATCAAAGTTACTCTGCCTGTTGTACTCGTTGGATAAAAGATGGCTGCACTGTTTCTGTTGACATATAGTCTGATTGTCTTACTATCTGCCTGTGCAGTATCTATAGCAGAGAGCAAAAGAGGTCATAAACATGGAGTACGCAACGTGCGAGTGCATGTGCAAAGGTAACAGAAAAAAAAATGATGTCAGACCAAAGTGCCACCCACATGGCCTCCCTCATCCTGCCGCGGTGGCCTTCAACAGCCTGCCTGCTAACCAGTGCTGGGAAACACCTTCTTAGCATCAAGCACAAGAACATCACATGCAATTAGCAGCTAGGCCCAGCAGGTGCAGTAGTGCTATACTTAACATCATGGCCGCTACTAGAAGGAAAGTGGTTATCCCACCAGTCTACCTGACACTTACACTGTCTGGTCTGGGGTGAGAACGGGTGCGTGATTGCATGTACAATATGTGTGTCCGTACAGTAAGTGAATGTCTATGTGAGTCTATGTCAGTGAGGTTTCTCTGGCAGCAGGAGAGGATGCAGAGCACAAGCCACTTTTAACTGACTGGGGTAAACAGCGATGAGAGAAGATAAAGGGCAGAGTGAATGTCACATTACCCCAGCCCTTTGCCTCTGCTCACCGCAGCATCAGATAACTGCAGCAGGAAAAAAAAGTCTGGTTTCCTCTAGCATATAATTGGTTATCTTATTGCAATCTACTGCTCTCTTGCCTCTGCACAGTATAAAGTATGAAAGAGCAAAGGGAGAAGAAGAAAAAAAAGTCTGACTCTTCTGGCAGTGACTAAAATAAATCATTACGAGCATAGGACACATCAACCTATTTCTATGGGTGTCTTCTTTGTTGGAAGAAATACAAAAGGCTTAGGATGTGTGCTGAATTCAGTCTCCTACAGGCACCAACATGGCACGGACTTTAAGATGCAGCATAGAACTTACAGTTATAGAAGGTGGGAGGGAAGTGTTACTGTTACTGATAATCAGGTTGTGGTGTGTTCACTTTCAAAGATAAAATAATTATAGCACTAGTAATACATGCACAGATCTTTACACGAAAACACTGTACAGTTTTAAAGGGAAGCATGCTACATTATTGCCAATAAGATCATAGATTAGTGTAGTTTTAACATATAATATAAAATGCACAGGAAGTTACATTGCAACATCATTCAGATAGCAGACTGCCTGAAGAAATATCTATGTGTTATAGTCTGGGGAGTATTTGGGTGTCTCTGTAAAATAATTCTGTATTATAGTTGTTTATACATCATTAAATAAAAAAGTTGTTAAAGATTAGCTGTTAAGATGTCAAAGGTGTTTTCAAATTCAGACTTAATTTGTTTCTATGGAAGCCCACACATGGTGACCCGACTATAACAACTACAGAGGCGTATTTTGCACCTTTGCATGTTTTCACACATATGTTGCTGCAATTAAGAAACACAACTCTTGACATCATCTGTGAATTCCAGTAAGTGTGCCAGTTTTTCAATGCAAATAAATACAATATTTGCAGTGTGTGGTGGAGAATATGAAATAATTAGTTTTTCACGCATGCATGTATAAAACATGACAGTATGTGCTTGTGTGTGTTCTTGCAGGGAGGTTCATGAGGTTAAGTAAGTATGCCTGCCCATTAAGAGCAATCACAACTCTCAGTTTGGAACCTCCAAAACCACACCGGGCCCAGGCCGGTACCTTGAAGTACCACTTTCTAAATCAATTGGCTAGCACAAACAGACGAGGTTTTAGAAATTGGACGCTTGGCTACTGTATCTCACCACAGCAGTGGGCAGTCTTTTCCTAGCTGGATTGATGCCTGGAGGGGGGGCAGTGTGGAGCCTAACCCCTCGTTCACCCACACTGTACCGGGCCTGTGGTTTGAGAGAAAGACAGCAGGGAGAGAAAGAGAAGAGACAGAGAAGACAAAAGTGGGGAAGGAAACGACATGGCGGGGCTTTAGTTTGCAAGATACAAGCAGGGCATTTGTAAAGGAACATGTCAAGGGCCCCCCCTCCCTCGAGAACCTTTCCCTCCTTCTCCCTTTCTCTGGTTGCTCTGCTCTTCCCCTCAAACCCAGCACACGCGTGCTGGGGGAGGAGTAATGACATGAGACTTACACAGTGACTCTACACAGCACCATGCTAGGGGAAGAATGGAGGTTAATGAGCTGACATCCCCTCCACCCCGAACACGCCTCCTCCCTATGCCGACCTCCCTACTCTCTTACACACACTGACAAGCATATAGACAAAACCCCTATAAGACAGTGGGGCTGAACTCTGGCACTTAGCCAAAGATCTGGCGACTACAGGAATATCATGGAACAACAAGTGGATTTACGCTGTCTCCATATACTGTCCATACTGGACAACGCCGACCACCCTCTGCACAAGACCTTCACCAGGCAGAGGAGTGTGTTCAGTGGCAGACTGCTGTGCCAATTCAGCTCCACCAACCGACTGAAAAACTCTTTCGTCCCCCTGGCCATCAGACTGTACAACAGCTCTTAGTCAAGGCAGGGAGGACAATAGACAACAGACAACGGACAATTTCTACCTCCATTTGCACTGTTTACTTCCATTTGTACTCCATCTGTACTGTTTACTGTTTTGCACTGTTTATTGTAGCTACTGTGTTATAAGTTGATTTTATTTTAATTTCTAATTTTATTTTAATGTAGGTTTAATGTATGTTTAATGTATGTATGTTTCATATGCTACTGGATACTTGAATTTCCATCGGGATAAATAAAGTATCTATCCAACTATCTATCTATCTATCTATCTATCTATCTATCTATCTATCTATCTATCTATCTATCTATCTATCTATCTATCTATCTATCTATCTATCTATCTATCTATCTATCTATCTATACATTAAATAGAGCTCACAACAACAGTTGGGTTATGAACAACTGTGAGAGTAATACAATATAACCTACATTATAAATATGACCTGCAAACATCAGCTCACATAATCAAAACCACATAACAGTAAATTTCAGCTATACTAGTGGCCCAATGGGCTGACATGCTCATTACATGTTGAAAAATGTGTGAGGGAAAAAGTACTGTTTAGCTTGAGGTTGGCAACGTGTTGTCACCTAAATCAAAAGGGTTAATCTAACATACACTAGCAGTTTTAGTCATCAAGTTGAACTTTTGACGTGCAAGTGGCACGACCAAAGTCATTGGGATTCATTGTCTGAGGATGAATGTTTGCACCAAATAGGGCTGAACAATTAATCACACTGCCAGGATGGCTAAAAAACAGTCCAACCACAAGTGTCAGTATCTTACAAAACACTTCACAACCATACAACAGTTGTTGACTTGTTAAGGATAGACAGCTTTTGCACCCCGACCACAGACCACGGGCTGAACACATTATGCTATTATAGTACATACAGTGCTGTGAATAACTGATCAGACCTTCAGATGCTCCCCCATTACTTGTTTGTCACGTGGTGGTGTGTGGGTGTATATAATGTTAAATAAAACCTCAGTGGCCTTTAAGTTGCATCATCGGAAAACCAACATATAAAGGTGAGAATTTTTAACAGATAAGAGTTGAAGCGTGCACAGACATAAATAAAAGACACAAAGAGGTAAGAAAAACAGTGGGGTTCAAAGGAACGCTTTAGAAAACCTTTCAGCAGATAGAAATTTAGTTGAATGCAAATTAATGTAAACAAATGGCATTTGCATGAGCCTATCTGAGGTTGAATAAACACATGCAGGTGCACTTAACACTGATATGAGGCAGATTTATTAGTTTGCCAATGAGACATCCTAAGACTGCTGTTGTTTGATCTATGTATAACATAAGCCCTTGCTATTCATATAACTCCATACTAGCCTGCTGCATGCCTGGTTGACAGCTCCATTACACTCTCCACACCCCTTCTTGAGAGGCTGGACGCTACCATCTAAGCTACAGGCTTTCATTACTGGAGTTTGAGATATATATATTTTTTAAATAAACTGCCAATGGACGGTATCCTACTGTAATAGATGATGAGCCTTAATTACCTCAAATAAAACAAGTAAAAAATGTAAAAAGCACGATGGTAAATGACATCCTTCATAAAAAAAAAGAACATTACCAAAAGCAGAAACAGAATTGATAATGGCGCAGCAAAGCACTTTTACAGAGCTTGAAAACAATGGAAGATGGATGGCTAGTCATTAGCGCCCATTGTGAATCTTTCCAGTGAGTAATTTGTGGAAAGGCTTGTGCATTTTTAATATTCTTAAACTGAAGAGCCCTAAGAACACAAACTCCATGAAATAATAAGAGGCATTTCACCTTAGCACTATCTGAGCTTCTCAATTATTTACCACTAATGAATTGCCTCGGGCAATATTCCTCCTAAGTACAATATCAACCATCCCAGAGAGGCTGAATCAGCTCGCTCAAATACTTAAATACATTTACTCAATTATGCTCACTGTCCCTAATATGAAAGAGACAAGGATGTGCAAGCATAGGAAACAGTAGCTTTTTTCCTAATGTTTCATATCTGTTTCATTCAGCCTTGATATTTTCAACAAAGTCCTCACACGCACAACAACAACAACTCCTATAATGATTAATTCATTAACGTTTTCATCGAAGAAGCAATGAAGTTTCTTGAAAATTCCTCTATTTTTGCATCTGTGGTGTGGGAGGATACAATAAAATGACATTTGCTGTTGTTGTTGTGTCTAGCCTCAGTAACATAACAGTACTGCAGGCCAGTTGCCAGGCATCCACCAAACGTTGCGCTTCACAGCCCAACATGCCACCTAGAATATCTTGACCATGTTGGCTGAAGGAGCCTCAGAGTGTGGGGCATCACACCACCAGCCCCCAAGACAGGTAACCAACAGGTAGGAAAAAGATGGAAATGAGTATGGTACCAAGTCAAAAGTATTGAAAGTAGTCATGAAGACAGTGTAAGTACAACCCCACAGTTGCCAGTCTATTTCAAAACAAAGTCTCTGCAAAGCGCGTAAAAAATTAGAATAACCTTAAACATATAAACCCATCACCTGAATGTAAATAGATTCTACCATCTGCTAGCTTGATCCCTAGGGGACAACTTCATACTGGTGTGTTTTCTATGTGTCTATCTATGTGTTTGTGTACTTCAGTGTACTAACTCTAACAAACTCTTAATTAAAACTAAGTACAGAGTACAAGAGTTCTTTTTAGTTATTTCACACGAGACAATCAAGTGACAATAATTTCACAATTGGGCATATGTGTTTGTTTTTTTCACATTTCACATTTAAAATATAAACTGGTGGTTATTTGAATTTATGATTTTCACATACTTAATTATTTAGATAATAAATCTATATGAGCTATATGCTATAGAGAAGTATGTGTGGGAGTGTTATATTCCTGCAAGTCTTTTTCGTTGCTTATAAATGCACATATTTTATATCTGCAGTCCACTCTCAAAGTAACAAACTGAGCATTCTGCTCTATTTTTATGATCGACATTGTTATCACCATTTAATCAGAAAAATGTCACAACCATGATCCTTCCATTGCGTAACTGAGCAGTTCAGGCCTGACAAGCTTTAGTCAATTCCATGCTATCCGGATATAATCATCAGTCTTTGGCTGTAACTACACCAGAAAGAAATTTAAGTGCAAAGGATCCCGTTCCTAGACAGCTGGTAGTTGTAAATTCCTATCAGGGAATAAAAAACAGAGAGGGAGGGAGAGAGTTTGAAAGAAAACATATACTATTTTCATTTCAACTGCTTTAGGGATTAAGGCTTGGGGCTCTATAAAAAAAATGCATTAAAATAATCCACCATTTGCATGTTTTATCTCACAAAGGAGGCTCACATAGACACACATACACACCAACCCCCACTCTTCCCTCCCTTCTTCTCCTCCTTCCCCTCCCCCATTCTGGGTGAGTGCACACACACACACACACACGTTCAGACGCACGACATACACATATACACACTGTCATCATTAAACACACACACACACACACACACGCACACACATCGAGATCAACCTGCTGCCATCTGCTCTACGCGCTCTGTACAATCCTCGCAGAATACATTATTCACTACAATACATCACATCACATTCCCTCAATGTCATAGCCTTGTGCTGTAGAAGAGTAAGAGAGAGAATGGAGGAGAGGGGAGAGCAAAACAGCTATTGTACTCTGAAGAGAGAGAGAGAAACAGAGGGGGGGGGATTTGGCCTGTTACATGGTACAGTGGTAGGGAAATTAAAGACAGTTTGATTTGGCTTTTAGGTGAAACAAGGTTGTCAGCGAAACTTGTTCCAGTTACAGCTACCAGGCTAGATTAAAAATCCGGACAAGGAGACTAGTGTATGAAAGTGAAGGATTAGAGTGGCTGAGAAAGTGGAGGAAAGAGAGAGAGAGAGAGAGAGAGAGAGAGAGACACCTGGCATAACTGGCAGGAGAATATATAGTGTTACTTCTTGTCATACACAGAGGCATGCTTTTGAACAGGGTTTTTTTTCTTTAGTTCTGCAAGTGTTTTCAAGTGCTAAAGGTTAAGGTAGGTGTTACAATCCAATGAGAAGACCAAAACCAACAATGTGTTAGTCCGTCTCTCAGTACTTTCCAACTTTGCTAACCTGTCTGCAGCTCTCCACAACAGCATCTGTCCCTATAGAAAACGTATTAAAACAAATGTATAGTTTTATTTTCTTTTAAATAGCTGCTCTCATCAATATTATATATATACGACGGATCAAAATAGCAGAGAGAATTATCTATAGAGCATTTTATTGCCTTTAAGCTTATTGTTTCGGTTTTACAACCCACAACTTGTACTGTTTTGGTTGCCTCTCACCACTTTATTATTAGTGATGTCTTCAG